AGGTGAGCAGCCTCCTTCTTTTGTGCCGGTTCCATGGTAAATCATGGTTCATTTGCGGATCTTCTTCATCTTGACCCTGCATGTAATTCCAAATTCTGTCCGGTGTTTCCGGAAATCGTGATCCCCACCACTTCTTGGTCTTCTCCGTGGGCTCTTCCAAGGTGAGCCGATGGTTGGTCCTCTTTTCCATTTCCATGTGCTCAATCTCAGTGATCAGAGCCAGAGCGTGGTCCTTTCGAACCACTGGACACCCAGACCTTAACCAACATTCTATGTTTCCCAGTTGTGGATGTTTCACAACACATCCTGCACGGGACCAAGTGATGGTGTATCCCAATTCCACCAAACCTCGAAGAGGTACAATTGGTTCCACCGGTCCCTCCGACAAGAGGGTTCCATTCACAGGATTTTGATAGAGCTGAGCAGCTCCATGTGCGAGTTCCACAGTGACCTGCACCGCGTTCTTGATCTCCTCGGTTGATCCCTGTCTCAAGGGGTGTGTCGCCCCACCATCCAATAAACCTGTTCCATCATCAAATTCAACTTCGAGATGATCCCCACCATGCCCCACCGATTTCAAGACCGGTCCATTGAGACCCTTCAAAAGGTTGGTCACTTCTCCCACAACCTTGTTGGCCTCCTCTGGTACAGGGGTTATAGTGACCGCGGACTCCTTCATCGGATTGATCTTCACGGTAGGTTCAGAATGTTCTTGAGCAGCACCTCCCTCTTTTCCAGGACCATTTTTCCTCTCTTGAGATCTTGAGCGGATTCTTGTGGTTTTGGCCACCTTTGGTTCCTCGGATCCACCTTGTGGACCTCGTGACTCACTTCGTTTTCCCGCCGGACAATCACGTCGGGAGTGTCCCCTTCCAGAACAGTTGAAACATCGGCCATCTTTGGAGTCCAGGACAGTGTGCGTGAATCGGCACCGGTCAGCATATTGGCATCCCTTATCTGTCAGCCAGTTGACGCACGCCACCTTATGGACCACATTAGCGGCGTTAATCGGCAGCTCGGGCTTCTCCCCCCTCCTTCCGGTGGAAGAACCTGCTGCGTCTTCTGGTTTTCCCTTCGAAGCTCCCTTTGGTGGACTTCCAGATGAATCCGGTCCACTCATAGACTTCACCCCCACTACATTGTTGGGCTTAGTCGTTGGACCCTGTGTTGTGTTCCCCGGTTGACGGAGAGCCATTTCACTAGCCTCCGCTTGAAGAAGTTCCGAAAACGTTCGGATCTCTTGCATTCCCGGCCGGAGATCTATGCCCAAATGCTGTCTCACCGAAGACAACCGGTAGGCAGCTTGAGCTCCCCCCAATCTGGCCAAGGCATCACTCATTTTTGCGACCACTCCGGCCAAAACCAGAGGATCGGGCAAAACCAATTGAAGTTCTTCGGCACGAACCACCCATCTTCTCCACTTCCGGATGGAGTTGACCATCTCTGCAGCATTATTAGATGGACATTTCCAGTCCACCAACATTTGCAGCAGGGCAGTTCTTTCCACTTGTCCCCCAGGTTGGAAGACGGTGTACAGCTTGAACATGACTTGACCCGCTGACATGTGTCTGTTCGCCACAAGGTCCTCGTAGATGTCCTTGGGGACGGCTTGAAGCAGCATACCCACCACCCGTTTCTCTGTGCGAGGCCACCTACGGGCCATGTCAGGTATCACAGGCGCCATCCGGAGCCTCATGAGTGGATCCGCTTGCAACCAGTGGTGGTATGCTTGTTCAACAGCAGTCATCACTACTTCCCACCATTGCTCTGAGGTGTAGCTCACATCCCCAATCATCTGTTGGGCAACTGTCAGCCAGTCTCCAAAATCCAAAGATGTTGCATTCCTGTCCAGCTTCGGCAATTCGACCGATCTTAGCGTTTCGCCTGGTACTTCTCCCCCTGCCTGAGGTCCTGCTTGGACTACAGCTTGTTGTTGTTGTGGCGGTGCAGCTTGTCCTGGATTTCCTTGATGACCACCTGGGAGACCGGGAATTCCCTGATGACCACCTGGCGGACCAGGTGCTTGTCCGGGATTTCCATACTGCCCTGGCGGTGGACCCCCTGGCCAACCATAACCACCCATAGGTCCGGTGTTTCCTCCCGGAAATGCAAAAACCCCTTGAGGTCGATGATCTTGTCCTGCAGGTGCTCCTCCAACATGGACTTGAGGATTATACCATTGATTAAGTTGGTCACCGATGAAAAAGTGTTTTGTGTTTTCCGTGGCTCCCATGCAAGGAACTCCCATCGGTGGTCTTGACGCCGCTCTCTGCGGCATACCTCCCGGTGGTATTCCAATTAGCCACCCTTGATTCATATACACATCCATCGGCCGAAAACCTTGTTCGACCTTGGGCGCAGGAGGAACATTCCACAACTGACCTCCCGCCTGCATTTGAAGATCTTGATCATGGTGATGTTGAACTCCTGGAACTGGTTGATCTTGCACATGTTGTACCTGGGGTGGAACACCTTGAGGTGGCCCCACAGGAAAACCCTGCTCGACATTCTTCAGCTCCGGCGAGGCGGTTTGATAAGACCCCCCACTTGACTGAGAGCCCTTGTGACCTCCTCCGGCTTCTCGGACCCGTTCCAGGGCACGTTTCTCTTCCCGCGTGGCTAACCAATTTTCTCGATCTTGTTGGATCTCGGTCTTGCCCCGTTGAAAGAATTCCATCATTTGCTGTTTCAACTCCTCATACTTTTCCTTCTCCCTCGCGTCCGCCTGATCAATCAGGTCTTGCGACACTATGGGATAAGTCAGCTCTTTCACTGGAGTTTGTGGACTGCTCATTAGAGCTTCCACTCGCTTGGCAGCACTCCATGGATTCGTTTCCTCTGCAGCCATGACCCCGGTTACAACCCCAGGATCCACAACCGCCGTTCCCCACTGAGGCACCATTCCCGTAGGTGGCACTCCAGCACACATGGATTGCTGGGACATCCCAGCTACTTGCGAACCCTGTGTTCCACCAGTTGCGGTATACACCACAGGTGCTCCGGCTGGCTGGTAGATCACAGGTGAGCCTGTTGGTGCCGCTGGCACCGATTGTTTGACGCGTGCATCTTCAGGAGACTCAACAGGTGAACGTCCCGGTCGCTCCAAAAGAGCAACTGTTTCCACAACAGCAGCCGCACCTCCACTCACTTCAGTTGAGCTTTGGTGTTTTCCACCCTGTCCTTCTTCTCGATTACCCACAACAGGTGGTTCACGAAATCCCTCAGACATCCGGGCAACTACTGGTGTTTGTGTCATAGGCACTCCCGAAAGAGTTAGACTATTCACACCTGGGGTCAAACCAGACAACAGACCGCCACTCCCATTTCCTCGTACCACTTCAAGTCCAGGAGGTTCTTCAGGTGGTAAGGACACTGGTCTTGCGACTTCTTCCGCAACAGCCGGATTCTGGGCGATTCGTTCGCCCGCTCCAGCCCGGACCGCCGCAACCTGCACTAGGGCTCCACTTCCCCCAGCACCGGTCAGTGCCATCACACTTTCTCCAACTTCCCCTTCCATCAGTGATCTTCGGGCTGAGTCTGATGATCTTGTCCCTGTTCTTTCCCCATGCGCTTGTCCAGGTGCGTCCATCTCCTCCAGAAGCCGGTCCAGCATTTGGTCTGCCGTTTCCGCGCGTTCTTCTTTTCCATGTCCATGGGTCCCATGTTGTACTTCTTCAGCATGAGCAGCCGCTTGAACTTGGCGTTCTTGTCGACGACGCTGAGTGAAGTCGCTGCTCGACATTGCTTCAAGGCAGCGTTGGGGTTGGGCTCATAACCCACGGGTTTCAGACTATGACCGAGACCCTTCCCGGAGGTCCCCACCAAGAGGCAGATGCAAGTGCACCTTTTCACTCCAAGTTGGGCTCGGTAAATTGAGCCAGTCAGTTGATTGGCCCTTGAGCCAATTGAATGGCTTGAGCCATAGTTGCAACAGTCGGAGGACGTCTCAACGACTGTGAAAACTTTAAAAAGACCTTAGTGGGGGTGCAGTGGTACTCTGTGCATGTTTCCCAAACCGCAGAAACAAAACATGACAAAACGATGTCAATGCGAGAGCTGATCCCCCCCAGTCGCACCCCCAAGCTGCACCTTGGGTCGGTCACCCACTGCCTGCCGTAGATGAACTCTGAAGCCCTGTGGCCTGAAGTCAGAGACACGGCTGCGGCGAAAATGGCCCATGGACCTACAAAATTTGGTCGCTTTTATGAGAAAACATCATGAAGACAATTAAAACATGTATTAAAACCATAAAAACCGTCCATTTTCGGCCAAGAATTTTGAATCATACAATAGTTGATACATAGTTAATAATGTTAATACATAAGCAGATCCAGATCTGAACGCCAGCACCAGATCTGTCTGATCTGTCCTGAGCTTTCGACAGGGCTCCCAGTGGTCCCAGCTGCTTAGCAGGAGGGACTCTGCGTGGCGAAGGCCATTTGCGCTCAAAGACTTCCATCCTTGGGAAGAGAGATGAGTCATGATATGAGTCATGATATAAGTTAGATCTGTTGAACATTTGATGTGGTTTATCCAAGATCTAAGATCCAAAGTATGTTGGTGACATCCGTGTGTGTTTCTGTCAGAAGCCGAAGACTTTGCAACAGAACTTCGTGGGCTATGAATTGCTGAAGCCTTGGTCTGTTTGACCATCTGGGTGCACCCAAGGTTCTGGTGGAATTCGATCTACGCAAGCCCTCCATTTCCGCGCTCCATCTTTCGCACTGTACAGGCGATTGCAATTCAGCGACCCCTTTGAAGCTGAAAATAAGACGCTGCAAGATGCTGCAAGCACTGAATGCCAAAAACCTTTCCAAGAGTGAAAAAAATGTCATGGATATTTAATTCATCTGATCTTCCTACACTATTCTGGTACCGCGATGCCCCTTAACTTATATTCATTTCATTCACGCGCAGATAGTCACAACGACTGTGCGGACATGCAGAATGAAATCACAACAAACCTTCGGGACCTACCACGTTTGTACACTTTATATACTTTACAGTTGGGGTTGGTAGTCCGGAAGGAATGAGGATGAAAAAGAAATGGTGCTTTGACATGCCAGCGCCTGGGCCCACGAATGGGCGGTGGCATCAAAGTCTTGCCACTGTACAGATTTGACCCCTGATCGCTGGATGCGAAGGCGAATGCTCTGGAAAGCCGAACGTGCCAGCGCTTCACAAAGGCCAGGAGGGTACTCCTTATAACCATCACAGAGAAATCCGCCTGCTTCGCTGGTCACCAGCCTGGGGGATCTGGGGGCAATACCCCTTCTTCAACACACTTTTGCCACGCGCCCTATCCAGCAGCTCTCGGCATGTTTGTTCCAGGACACTTCCAATCCATGTGATCATAACATTCGTCACGTGCACATCCACATGCTTGAAGCCAACACTATCCTGTATCAAGGATTTCACTCTGATCTCATCCTCCATCTTCCAGGCTTTGGCTTCTTCAGAGTTGACCTGGCTGAGAGATTTGATCACCTCATCAATGCCGTCGGAGCCCTGTGCGATCTGCCGCTGCATAAGATCTGACGCATCCCTTGGCATGATGAACTCCACCTCAATCTGAATCGTGGATGCCACAAATTGCTCGTAGACGGTCCATACACGCGTGAGATACATAGGTTGATCCCAAGTGTCCAGCATCGCAACCATTTTGCCAATCCTCTTGAGATTTGTTTTGAACACCTGTTCCAGATTGTCACTGCCACTGCTGCTCTCTTCCACCAGGATTCTGTACTGGTTGTTGGCGAAGAAACACATGAAGAAGTAACACGGTCCAACCAAATTTTCCTGAAACACCTCCAAAGCGCTCCGGACCTGTTGGAGGCTGTACTTCCAAGTCCAACTCATAAAATGAGTTTGTTCTCGGCGTTCACGCCGTGGTATCCAGTCAACCAATGCGCACCCAGGTCTACCGTCCCGAGGGCATATGATGTCTTCGCCGATGGCGTCCTCTGAGAGCCAAAAACCGGCTTTCATGTCGGTGAAGGTCGGATCATCCTTGCCAGTGCGCTGTATGGCAAGTTGAGCAAAGTCAGCAGAAAGCAAATATCCGATGCTCACCCCGGCTCTTTGACCCTGTAAGGCACGCATACCTGAAATATGTTGATCGAAACTGAGTTTCTGAAGACCCAGACCATACAACTTCTTCGAGTATGCGTCGAGCGTGTTTGGTTGTTCATCCCAGAGTTCCATGTAGACTTCCTCCAGGATTCGTTCGATCTTCTTGGCTTTTCTGGAGCGATTCCATGAAAAGACCAAGCCACCACAAACTCCCAAGGCTCCTAAGCCAAGCGCCAAGAGCGGCAAGTGCCACCAAACGCAGCGGTTGTCCACCAAAGCCAACGGCAAGTTGCAGGGCACGCACTCGTCCATGCCACTGACAGAGTAGTGCATCATCGGACAATCTTCACACGTGGTTCGGTCTGCGGAAGGAGTTGAACCTTCAGGGCATTCCTGGCAGAAGCTTTGAGCTGGCGCATATTGCCCCACTCCGCAACGTTCGCACATCAGGAGGTTTCTGCCTGGACCTCGTCCTGCTTCGCAAGGCGGCATCAAAGATGCATTAAGCATTTTGTAGTGGCCGTAGCTTGTCAAGGAAGAAATGTCCCATAACCCAAGTGGAGTGTCAAAGTCCCAGGCCCTGTAGAACATGTACTGCATATCTGTGACTGCAGAGGTGTTCCAGGACCCGATCGGCTGGTTGAAGTCGTAGGCATCGTAGAACATGTACTGCATATCTGTTTGTGGTTTCTGGCGACAACCTGGCACGGCCAAATTGGCCCGGGGTTAAGCCGCCCACACCCGGACCCTCTACACCACAGGAAGAGCAGTCACGCCCTCCCCACGAGCAATGTGAGGATCCAAATTGTTCTGGCCCATGTCCAAAGGCTCGGGACGGGAGTAGTTGCGTCCGGCTTGGACTTTGCACAATTGCTCCCGGATATGCGCGCATTGTTTCACACGAACAAGGTCGACCCCTTCAGGACCCCAGCCTAATCTGTTAACCAAAGGACATCTGCTGGGAGGGACACGTCTCAGGTGGTCCCAGTGGCTACACTGCCAAAGCACATGGAAAGTGTCAGGACACTGATGTTTCTTACATTCATGGCAAAACATAGGTGGTGACGACGCTTTCGCGTCCGTTTTCAAAGCACCGGACATGATACCAATCTCATGCGCGGACAGATCTGTGGCCGCCCGGTGAAGCTTAGTGATTAGGTTATCAGAAATAGCCAAATTGTTTGCCCGGGCCAGCTTGGCATCATTGCGGTCAGATGCCAGCCACCCTTTGACCTCACGTGCACGCCAAAACTGCCTAAAACAATGTGCCATGCGAGGTGCGAAATCAGGTGGGGATGCGGAGTCCCACCACCCCCCACTCCAGGACCAGCGGCCCCAGCTGTCGCACTGAAGGTCCAGCTTGGAGAGAGCACCGTTCAAAGCCGAAATCACATTACTAGGCTTGTGGGACCAATTCCCCGGATGGTGGTGACGCCACTTAGTGAGGGCGTTCAAAAGACGCTGGCAAGAAAGGTAAAGGAGGTCAGATGAGTGCCCAAGCAACAAGACTTTTTCCAAATGCCTGGAAGCAATGCCATCCAAAAATTTTCCTTTAACTGCAAGACGATAATCCTCAGTGTGCGCCTTGCATTCCCCCTTGGTAGGAGTTCTTCCATTAAGTAAAAGCCCCCAGACCCTCTTGGAAGCAAGAGTAAGGGCCGCGAGGCCGGCCCGGAAGTTTTGGGATACCGGCAAAACACTAATACGCTGTGCAATCGTTGTGCATTTTTTGGCACGGGACAGTTCAGCATTGGATTGAGCTCTGGGCGCGATGCCAATGGTGACACCCAGCACTTCAGCCGTGGCAGTCGGCGACAGATTAGCCGCCTGCAACGCCAGATACCCCTTCCAATTTCGCCCCAGCACTTGGGTTTTGCTGGAATTAGTGCGGAGTCGAGTGTGGGCATGGAGCACATTCCAAGCATTAAGAGCTGCGGCCAGGATGCCGGGAGTGGGAGCAACAAGCGTGCGATCATCGAGGTACAGCAAGCATCTGGACTCCGGAACCAACCTCTCTTGGTGCCGCTTCGCAAGCATGAGAACCAGTGACATTGCTATGGGAGACCAGGGATCTCCTTGGGGTAATGCCAAACAATTTTGGATAGGGAGCCGCGCACACACCCCTGCAAAAGACATCCAACGTTTCTGTCGCCGCCATTGTGCTCCCAAAAGATTGACCACACGGGCAGGAAGGCCAAGCCGGGACATGACGGCCAGAGCCAAAGTGTAATCGCAAGAGTCAAATGCCTTGGTAAAATCTAGTGCCATGAGGCACGGAAATTTTGTGGGATCAAGATCGATGTCCAAAGTCAATAGAAGGGAGGAGACGTCCTCTCCGCCGATGCCCCCCGACTGGTTCCGATCCAGATATTGAGCTAGAATGGGAGCCAGATGGCCCAATCTGATTCTGCCCCAAATACGATAGATGGCTGAGCCGATTGCGATTGGTCTGACTTCACCCAATGAAGGCAAAGTGCCATGCCTTTTCTTTGGCAGGGCTGCGATCTTCCAGTAACAAGTGGCTTCCGGCCACGCCCCCTGTTGCTCAAAGGCATCCATCATCTCTGCAAGCCGCCTATGTGCCTCGCACGGCAGCAATGCTAACCAGGAAGGGCAAATTCCATCCAAGCCAGCTGCTTTTCTGTGCATTTGGCGAGCTGCCCTGAGCGTGTCCTCTCCTGTGATGGGCGGAAGATTAGGTGTGGGTAATGGATCAGGGAAGTCATCCTGATAAGCCGAAAGGAGAGCGTCAACATCTGCAGCGAATTCCTGAAAACCAAAAACGTTTGTCCAAAAAGCTTTAAGTTTTTCGACAATTTTAGGGGGGGAGGTCAAAATACTATGATCAACATCTTTGAAAGCCAGTGGAGCAGCTTCTTCCTTCCTGAGCCACTGACAAGCTTGTGGGAGATCGCGCATTCGGGCGCGCCATTTCTGAAGTGCATCGTTGCGGTGCGCATCTTGGAGTTGCCTGAGTCTCACGGTGGCCATTTGGTGGGCCAACCCCCAAGCATGTGCTCTCACAGCCTCCTGTTCAGATGCTGGACAATTTGTGCCAAGTAATTTATTATACAGCGTGTGTGGAATACGCATGCCTCTCCAAGCAAGAGTACGCGCTTCATGAAGCCTGCGAATGAATCTACGCAAATGTCTTTCCGTGATTGACTGAGTAGCACCCACGCGATGAGACCCTGTGCGGACCGTGGGGACGTCACCCACCTTTCTCTCAGGCTGGTGGCTATCGAGAAGGCCGGCCTGAACCAAATAATTTTCAATGTCAAAACACCACATGGCCCAAGCATGGTCGATGTTGAGCAGCGCTTGCGACCAATCACTTTCAGCGGCCGCCACCGATGACCACAAACTACTAGGATGTAAAACATCTTGCTGGGGAACCACTTTTTTTCGGGTGTGCGAAAAACGCCACTGTGGCGCCTTACATTTTTGAAATGCAAGAGGGAAGGAGCTCTGTGCGATGGTGTGGTCTCCATCACCTGGAATTTCGGAGGCACTGGAGGCTTGAAGCCCTCCCGAAGACCAAATTGCATCAATTGGGTGAACACTCCGGTCATGTCGAGCAACAGAACACCTGGTGCCACCCATATTTTCAAGGATATCATGAGCAATTCCCTGTGACATGTTAGCATTGGCATCTAAGGCAAGGATCCAATCTTGCGAACCTAGGCGGCTAACAATCAGCGCAGCTTCATGCAAAATGGCAAAATCGGCATCACTGTGGTGCCGGTAAATACAGAGGACGTTGATGTCCCGTTGCCCCCCGTGCAGCACAGCGTGGATCAGCTGCCCTGGCTCGGAGCTGATGCGGCTGACCTCAGTGAGCGCACATGATTCGTGGCAGAAGACAGCGACTCCGCCATTGGATTTAACTGGCTTTGGAACAATCAAAGCTTGCCACTGCTGACGCCTACAAATTTGCGAAACAGAGGGAATGCTGATGTGTGAAATGTTATGCTCCTGCATGTAAACAAGCTGGACCTTAGCATCTCTGGCATGTGTGAGCATGTCTGTGCCATGAGCTTGCCAAGAGCGAATATTTTGTGACCACGCGTGCAAATCAGATGGTCCTGGGTGTGATGCCTCACCAAGGCGCACGCCACGGAGGCCTTGTAAACGTTTTCTCTTGGTGGCACTGGCATCTCCGCTTCCTTCAGCTTTGACAGTTCTTTTACGACAATTCTGCCAAATTTTCTTCCTTTTTTCAAGGGAAGGAGACTTACCGACAAAACGAGGACAAACGCTGATGGACAGGGATGGCCTAGACACGTGCCTAGAGCAGGCTTTGCATTTATAAACTGGGACTTGCACCGACATGCCTCTGGTATTGATGTATATCCTAGAAAACTCATGTTGACATGGGACGTCGTGCGCCCCTTTCCATTTGAGCTGTTGGAAAAAACCATGGAATGTCTTCCACCTCGACTGGAAGGTGCTCCTGGCATTCAAAAATCTGGTCGGGTGTTCAAGCAAGTTGCCTGACGACATTTTGGTATTTTGAGTGGCATGAACCCTTTCAAGGTGCCGTTTTTTTAAGCGCGATTTGGAAACACGCTGTGCCGTGCTCTGGATAGCAAAATCACACCAAGGACATTTCCACCAGACACCTCCCTGCGATTTGGGAAAGACAGGCAGGCTCCCTAACGGATCAGGTTTTGAAGCTTGGACAGCGATAGCTTCTCGCTCTCTATCTTGTCTCTGCAATCTGTTTGCTTCCGCCCTTTGTGCTCTCTGCTCTTTGACCGTGCACAGCTTTGCCGCTGCGGCTTGCTTGTTGGCTTTGGCCAAAATGGCCTTCCAAACAGCTCTGCGACCCTGCTTAGAGACATCGCGACTCTTACTAGGCATGTTGTTTGGGCAGCACGAATCTGTGGGATACGAAACTTTCTTGTTGCATTTGACGCAAACAAAAGGAAACCCTCCGGCGGAACCCAGGCTCCCAGGGTGCACATGTAATCCAGTGCCAGCCTGTTTTGCTTGGATGCTGGCGATGGCTTTGAACTTGGGCCCTAGGCGATCTCTGGTGTTTCGTTTGGCACGAGCAGTATCCCTAGCTTGCACAAGTGGCTCAGAATGTCGTCCTGCATGTTGGATGGCATCATGGGCAAGGGGAACCTCAACAGAAAAAACGGCATCACAATGAGTCTGTTGGTGAGCACAGCTGCTGGGAGCGGCATCGGTTCGCGCCACGGTAAGAGAAACTCTAGCGGATGAACTTCTGGCCACACTGCTGCGCCTCTTCGAAGCGTTGTGTCTCCGGTCAGGAGCATGCGACATGCAAGACTGCGAATGGACATCATGAGTCCCTGCCATCGGCTGATCAACACTGCTACCGACTTTGACCTTTCGAATGCTTTTCTGCACTGGGTGGGGTCTGCTAGATCGGCGCGAAATGGAACTAACAGGAGTTCGCCAGGTGTGGATGGAAGGAGTGGCACTATTAAGGCTTGGAAGACCACGGCCAGCCCCCGTCAGATCAATCATGAGAGGTTTGGTAGTTTTGAGCAACCACGGGCGAGGGAACTTTGTTTTTTGTGGGGCATGCACTGCTTCGAAATGCTTTTTGTTTAAGGTCAAAACAACCGGAGGCGCATTGCGTCTGCTCATTGCAACATCCTGCTTAAAGCCAGGTGCGAATGTGAATCTGTCCCATCTATCCTCTGATTGTTTGAAAATCACAATGACAAGTCCCAAGGTCTCAGCCAGGCACTGGATGCTAAGGCCATCTGCCCAGACTTCCTGTTTCATCTGCAGTTCACACCATTCACTGATGTTCGTTGCCTGCGGATTGCACCCCCTTTCAGCGGGGGTTTCTTTGGAATCTGGCGCAAACCAGCTAGAGAGCCTGCTACTATGCTTCTGGGCGTGCAAAACAGCTGACGCACGAAGCTCTGCCCTGCAGAGGGCAGCAGTTTCAGCAGTGATCAACTTATGATGCTTTTGCCAGTGTTGACAAGCAGCAATACTTCGATAAAAACAATCTCCATTGCCACCAACATCTTGACTTTCCCAGCCATTTTTGAAACATTCCGCGATGTCTGTTGGGATCAAATCTGGGTCATCTGCAACAGCCTGCCGCTGCTTGGAGCGAACTGGGCTCCGACTTCTTTCCCTACCAGCCTCTTTTTGTGAAGCTTGACTGGAGTCCTGATCCAGAGCAGTTGCCATGACGTCACCGGTATCGCCAGGATTGTTGGCTTCATTTCCAATTTTCCCCAGCTCATTTCCTCGCCATGTGTTTCTGACAGGTTGTTGCCAGGTTGGCTGGTGTTGTCTGACAGGAGCTGGGATGCATGACATGTAGCCTTCTGCCAAATCGTAATGGTAATTTTCCTGCATAGCTGAAGGTGGCTGGGCATGAAAACGCCATTCGTTTCGATATCTCACTTTGGAAATGCGTTGCACGGCTTTCCATTTCTGTTGATTGAGAAAATCTTCGATCTCTTCAGTCTGCCACATCTTTGGAGCCCCTCGGAGGAGGTAGTTGGCCGCTTGGCCCTCAGCTATTTCTGCTGCTGTTTTTTCCATGCCAATGGTGTGTGGTGTGCTGCTTTTTCGAAAAAAAAGGCCAACTTTCCTGAGCTTAGCTTCCTTGAGACATCTTTGCAAATAGGTCTCGGCATTTTCGTTGTTCTGTCGTTGAAACCAACGGATGGGCCTGGGTCCAGTATTGTTTTCTTGGATCTGGGCAAAAACACCCTGGCGACCGCTATTGACAACAAGCTCCTTAGCCTGTTCTGTTGGCAAAATCAGCCAGCCTGTGAGCAAGTCTTGTTGATGGACCTGCGTGTGATTCCATTTGCCACCCATGAGGTGAGAGGCTTTTATTTTTTCACTCCACTGGGCCATGGCAGCCGCCACCAATCTGGGTAGGTCTTGGCCTGAATCCAAGAAGTGCTTTCGGAATTCCAAAGGTGCAATGACTCTGACAGTGCTTCTTTGGACTGTTTTGATTTTCCCCTCATCAACTTTGACTGCGGGCAAGATCCACAATCCACTGTTGGTATCTCCTAAGCGCAGGAGAGCTATTTCTTCAATTTTCGGTGTGCCATGCGCCCTGGATATGCGAACACGGGTAGCCGTGGCCCCCAGGGTGTCTTTGGCATCCTTGGTGAGCAGCATGGTCAAAGAGCCCTTGCACCCATAGCTATGCCAAAGGGTGCGCAGGTTCGCACACTGTTCTTTGGTGTAAACTTCGGTGATGTTGGCTTGCAAGGCTATTCCTGCTTTTATCTGAGAAATGATCTCATGCACGGATAGGAACTTTGGTTGGGCATTCCATTCGCTGGGCACAAAACCAGTGATATCTTGATGGCTGCAGCCTCGGTTGGGGTTGGTCTGTTTTCCCCAGCGATTGGCACCATGATTTGAAGCTTTCGCTCCACTCTGGGGCTTGCTGTATCTGACTTCCCTGACCGCAACTGGTTTCCCAAGGTCACGGCTGTGTCCTTGGTTGGTGTCAATCAGCCTGCTGGTGGCTGTGATCACTTCCTGGTCACTTGCTTGGTTTGCGCAAAGTTTCTGAAGAAGCTGTAGCAATTCGCGAGCAAGGCTGGTGTCAGGAGAGCTGTCAGCCCGGTATCCTTGCCATGAATTATTTGCTTGTTTCCTTCTTTTCCGCCACCCCCAAGTGTGGTCTTCAGGCGTATTTTGATTGCTAGGCTGCCACTGCTGGATCACATTTGTCAAAGCAGTAGCCAGGCTTTGTGGTGACTCATGCTGTGGATTGTTGCGCTTACGACGTGTGCGGGCTGAACCGCCCGCACCGCCCGCAAGGAGGCATCGCAACTCTGGTTTGGTCACATCCATAGACGCAGCGTCAGCACGACAAACGCTAGCAATGGAAAATATGCCATACTGATGGAAATCCAGGTTCAAACCATGAGACAGTTTGGAACAACTTCTACGGGTTTTACTACACCGGATGCGGTTTTGGTGGCCTCGGGCCCATGCTCTCAGTTTTGCTGCGCGAAACTTCGCGCTGGCCAATCTTTGGCGCATTTTAGCTTTGGTATGGCGTGCATTTCGCACCAGTCTCGCTGGAAGTGCCATGCGATACTTGGTGAATTTGATATTTTTGTTTGGTTTTCGAGTTTTGCACTTTTTTCTGTTGGTTTTGAGAGTTTTCTGCGTTCTCTTGAACGAATTGCGTGGTCTGCTCAGCCAGTCCCAAAAGAAAGCAAAGCAGTATAATATACACAGGAATGTCAGGTTAGTGAAAGGGTCTTCACCTATGATTGGCCAGTGTTCATGCATCAATGTCACTGCAACTTCACTGGGTGTAACACAACAACTGCAAAGATGCGAAAGCAACCATGCCATGCTGCATTGAAACTGAGAGAGCTTCGCACCTGCTAAGGCCCGCGACTGCCGTGGCAAACTACAAGAAGTAATTGGCCGGGAGGCGCTCTCTTTTTGATAGCCGCTGCTCTGCATGGTGGTCACTGCAGAAGTGTCCCAGGAACCGAGTGGCTGGTTGAAGGCCCTGGCACCTGAGAACATATGTGCCATGTCGACCACCGCAGAGGTGTTCCACGCTCGAATGTCTTCATTGAACCACAAGTTGTTCGCAAACAATCCTGTCATGTTAGTGACTTCTGACACGTCCCAGCTCTCAACCAGGCCATGTGTTGAGATCAATCGAGTTCTTTCCTCAGCAAAGCTGAAGGACATGTGTCAACATCTGCTCATGTAAACCAAAAAAAAGTGCAAAGGGGTACGAGTTCCAAAGGTTTGGAGGATTGTTGAGGCGACTTCACCCACCTTCCATGGCCCAACGGTTGCCTAGATTCGGCTTCGAACTGCCAGCCTCTGACAGCAGCCCGTAATTCACGTCGATTTTGGAAAGATCTGACTGCTGAGCAGCTTGGCATCATCAGCAACGGCAGCAGCGACCATGGCGGCATGTTTCTGTCTTTCGGAACCTGTCCAGCTGACTCTCAAAACGAATACCCTTTTGGATGGGACCCGCACCAGCCCTGAGGAAGAGTATCTTGGAGTAATGCAGTTTTCATGGTTTTGATGATATGGATTGCAAAGTTTTGTCTTTTGAGAGGAACAGGTGAGTGAATCAAAACAACCAACTCTTGTCAGTTTTTTTTATCCTGTTTTTTCTGCCTGACTGACACTGGTTGATGTGTACTACAATTAGTGACCGACGGCCGAAGTGGCAGCGAGATATCGGACTACGAAGGACTTGCATTGCATCAACTTCCCCTGTTCAGTGATGCATCCACGTTTGTCCTTGTCTTTCACCTCTCTCCCCCGCGACAGTCCTAAAAATCCTAAAGGCTAAGCGTGACGAGACACAAGTTCATCGAGTGTTACGGTATAGGTTCATCCAAGACAGAACTCCTCAACCATTCTGGAGACTCTGACAGGCTGCCCACATCTCCAAAGATTGCCATGGAAACTCGCAGGTCGTTGAGGTTAGTTGAACGAAATAAAAGGGTTCCAAGGTGACGATTTGTTGATGTTGTTGTTGGTGTTGTTGCAATGTTGTCAGCATCCACCTCAGACATGTCCAAAACACCCTGACGCCTGGGAACTTGATACCCAAAGGATTCCTGAGCGTAGAGCAAATCGTTTCCAAGGGAGGAGTGGAAAACTGTGACTATCGTATCCCGTATCTGTCATGTTCAATGTTGCAATGTTCTGCAACATCATCCAACATGATCCAATATGCTGCAAAGTGGAGAACTACTCACCGCAAGACAACATACCGCGCTTATCAACAAAGAAATCCATCAGGACACTCAGTACACCTCTACAAAGCATCGAAGAACCACTCCCGAATATGTCCTTTGAACTGACGCCAAGTTTCTCAGTCAGTTCACTTTGGTCACCCTGGATGACCTGCAACAGATTCAGCTGTGTTTCCCCCATGAACACTAAAATGTGTGGTGTCGCAGGATTCAAATCCAACTTGGTTGTTCATGGCTGACAAAATTAGGACTCAACCAAGCAACAGGGGGATTGGACCAACCACCGACAAACGGGGATATGGTCGTGGCTCAAAGTTACCTACTCAAGAATTCTAAGGGTTTTTACACCATTGAAACCTCTAAATAGACGCACTTTGCGGGCTCATTGGTAGCCCATGTCTGAGCCATACGCACGAGACGATGCTTTTGCTTCTGGGAATTTGCAGCTCTGATGTTTGGAATGCTGATGAATGCTGTATGTTCAAGTCTAAGGTTCGCAAAAGACATGGCAAATGGCTCTCAAACAGAGGCTGAATTCCCATCAGTTTTCCAGCAGAATGGACCCTGATTCATAGAGGTGAGTGGGAGGAGACGAGAAGATCCGCCGACCCTGGCCTTGGCCAAGGCAGGGGCGGCGCCTGGGACCACCGCAGGTGTGGAACTTCTCCTTCTTCGCCTTCCAAGGTCAAACCCATCTCGCAGCCAGCAAGCTGCCCCAAGGCCACATCGCGTAAACATTTTCCTGGCATGCTTCGTCCTCCAGTTAAGACTTCCAGGCATTTGGACAAGAAAATTACATGCTTTGGGCAAGTAAGTTTTCCTCCGGAAGGTTTTGTCTGAAGGTTTTGTCTTTCAAGCCCAAAGCAGCCGTTCCCGCATTCCCGTAGTAGCAGTTCAAATCATTCACCACGCTTAAAACGCTTAAAACCCTTAAAAACCCTTACAACGCTGACTTGGCATGCTTCATCCTGCAGCCAACAGCCACCCCGAGGCCACACATCAATGGCTTCTTATGGGCCGCTTAAACATTCCCTTGGCATGCTTCATCCTGCAGCCAACAGGCACCCCAAGGCCACACATCAATGGCTTCTTATGGGCCGCTTAAACAATCCCTTGGCATGCTCCATCCTGCAGCCAACAGGCACCCCAAGGCCACACATCAATGGCTTCTTATAGGCACAAGCCTGCCGCTTGCCAGCCCTTAAACCCTTAAAACCCTCCAAACGCTTAAAAACCCTTAAAACCGTTCAAACCCTTAAAACGCTTACTTGGCATGCTTCATCCTGCAGCCAACAGCCACCCCAAGGCCACACATCAATGGCTTCTTATGGGCCGCTTAAACAATCCCTTGGCATGCTTCATCCTGCAGCCAACAGGCACCCCAAGGCCACACATCAATGGCTTCTTATGGGCGTCCAAGCCTGCCGTTTGCCAGCCCTTAAACCCTTAAAACCCTCCAAACGCTTCAAACCCTTAAAAACCTTAAAACCCTTAAAACGCTGACTTGGCATGCTTCATCCTTCAGCCAACAGCCACCCCAAGGCCACACATCAATGGCTTCTTATGGGCCGCTTAAGCTTCTTATGGGCGTCCAAGCCTGCCGTTTGCCAGCCCTTAAACCCTTAAAACCCTCCAAACGCTTCAAACCCTTAAAAACCTTAAAACCCTTAAAACGCTGACTTGGCATGCTTCATCCTGCAGCCAACAGCCACCCCAAGGCCACACATCCATGGCTTCTTATGGCCCGCTTAAACATTCCCTTGGCATGCTTCACCCTGCAGCCAACAGGCACCCCAAGGCCACACATCAATGGCTTCTTATGGGCGTCCAAGCCTGCCGTTTGCCAGCCCTTAAACCCTTAAAACCCTCCAAACGCTTAAAACCCTTAAAACCGTTAAAACCCTTAAAACGCTTACTTGGCATGCTTCATCCTGCAGCCAACAGCCACCCCAAGGCCACACATCAATGGCTTCTTATGGGCCGCTTAAACAATCCCTTGGCATGCTTCATTCTGCAGCCAACAGGCACCCCAAGGCCACACATCAATGGCTTCTTATGGGCGTCCAAGCCTGCCGTTTGCCAGCCCTTAAACCCTTAAAACCCTCCAAACGCTCCAAACCCTCCAAACCCTTAAAAACCTTAAAACCCTTAAAACGCTGACTTGGCATGCTTCATCCTGCAGCCAACAGCCACCCCGAGGCCACACATCAATGGCTTCTTATGGGCCGCTTAAACAATCCCTTGGCATGCTTCATCCTGCAGCCAACAGGCACCCCAAGGCCACACATCAATGGCTTCTTATGGGCGTCCAAGCCTGCCGCTTGCCAGCCCTTAAACCCTTAAAACCCTCCAAACGCTTAAAACCCTTAAAACCCTTAAAACGCTTACTTGGCATGCTTCATCCTGCAGCCAACAGCCACCCCAAGGCCACACTTCAATGGCTTCTTATCGCTTAAACAATCCCTTGGCATGCTTCATCCTGCAGCCAACAGGCACCCCAAGGCCACACATCAATGGCTTCTTATGGGCGTCCAAGCCTGCCGTTTGCCAGCCCTTAAACCCTTAAAACCCTCCAAACGCTTCAAACCCTTAAAAACCTTAAAACCCTTAAAACGCTGACTTGGCATGCTTCATCCTGCAGCCAACAGCCACCCAAAGGCCACACATCAATGGCTTCTTATGGGCCGCTTAAACAATCGCCGCTTAAGCAATCCCTTGGCATGCTTCATCCTGCAGCCAACAGGCACCCCAAGGCCACACATCAATGGCTTCTTATGGGCGTCAAAGCCTGCCGTTTGCCAGCCCTTAAACCCTTAAAACCCTCCAAACGCTTCAAACCCTCCAAACGCTTCAAACCCTTAAAAACCTTAAAACCCTTAAAACGCTGACTTGGCATGCTTCATCCTGCAGCCAACAGCCACCCCGAGGCCACACATCAATGGCTTCTTATGGGCCGCTTAAACAATCCCTTGGCATGCTTCATCCTGCAGCCAACAGGCACCCCAAGGCCACACATCAATGGCTTCTTATGGGCGTCCAAGCCTGCCGCTTGCCAGCCCTTAAACCCTTAAAACCCTCCAAACGCTTCAAACCCTTAAAACCCTTAAAACCCTTAAAACGCTTACTTGGCATGCTTCATCCTGCAGCCAACAGCCACCCCAAGGCCACACATCAATGGCTTCTTATGGGCCGCTTAAACAATCCCTTGGCATGCTTCATCCTGCAGGCAACAGGCACCCCAAGGCCACACATCAATGGCTTCTTATGGGCGTCCAAGCCTGCCGTTTGCCAGCCCTTAAACCCTCAAAACCCTCCAAACGCTTCAAACCCTTAAAAACCTTAAAACCCTTAAAACGCTGACTTGGCATGCTTCATCCTGCAGCCAACAGCCACCCCAAGGCCACACATCAATGGCTTCTTATGGGCCGCTTAAACATTCCCTTGGCATGCCAGCCAACAGGCACCCCAAGGCTACACATCCATAGCTTCTTATGGGCGTCCAAGCCTGCCGTTTGCCAGCCCTTAAACCCTTAAAACCCTCCAAACGCTTAAAACCCTTAAAACCCTTAAAACGCTTACTTGGCATGCTTCATCCTGCAGCCAACAGCCAGCCCAAGGCCACACATCAATGGCTTCTTATGGGCCGCTTAAACAATCCCTTGGCATGCTTCATCCTGCAGCCAACAGGCACCCCAAGGCCACTCATCAATGGCTTCTTATGGGCGTCCAAGCCTGCCGTTTGCCAGCCCTTAAACCCTTAAAACCCTCCAAACGCTTCAAACCCTTAAAAACATTAAAACCCTTAAAACGCTGACTTGGCATGCTTCATCCTGCTAACAGCCACCCCAAGGCCACACATCAATGGCTTCTTATGGGCCGCTT